TGCACCAACTCCCTCACTTAATGGGGGCATAGTTATAGTATCGTTAGTTTCTTCTCCCGCCCTTCTCCCAAATTTCCTTTTTCCTTCGAATCTCCCTCTCTGCCTCTCCGAAGAACCCACATTTTGGGGGCGTGACTATTTCCTTTCCGTCCCTTGGCTGGTTGGCGGTGCCCATTAACTTATTATTGTCATTCTTCCTGCGTTTCCACTCACTCACTCAAGAGGTTCACCTCCTGAAACCCCACAGGCCATTTATTGGCCTTCTTTTCTAGCTTAATTGACTACAAAACACCACCACTAAGTTACTACTACTACTAACTTACCACCACCACCACCGAGACAAACCGACATACTTACATCCTTCCTTCTCTCCCCTCTCCCCTTCCCTCCCCTCCCCCTCTTCTCCCCCTCTCTTTTACCTCACTCTTCTTCTTCCCCGCGTGCACGCCCTCGTTCGCAGGTGTATGGTACCTGTGACCTCACGAGGCAGCTGCCCTCTTGTCCTTCCGCCCGCAGTCCGCTGACAATTTTTTCTGACCTCCTCACCTTCCTTTTAAACCACCCCTTACCAATTCATTCTACTGCAGCAACAACTGATCGAATTGCTGCATAGTCCTTCACCCGATTGCACTCAAGGCGTGGACGGGAGGAGGCCTTCGATCATCCTGTGCAAAGAAAAAAATCTATTGTCCCTCGCAGTAACACGTCAAACTTCCAACGCACCCTCCACCCACCCCCGTCTGCAGGACAAACCCGCGCAAGAAAAATTTCCTATCAATTCACCTCTCCTTCTCCTACAACTCACCCTTCTCCCCCCCCCCCCCTCCTCCTCCTCATCCTTCTCCTACCCACCTCCCTGATCTCCCCGAAAAGAGAACAATCTTTTCCATGTTTCACATGTTGTGATCCCATGTAGCAATAAACAACATTGTTCTTCGCACCCTAGTTCTCTATTCGTTATTCCTGCCAGGTGCGCCGGGTTGAACCGCTTGTTATCAATCGGTCCGATCGGTGCTGTCTTTTCTACAATTATCACCATCTTGGGGAAATATGGGTTCTTCGTCTTACGATCTTGACGGTTAGTCTCCCAGGTCCCAGGTTTCTCCACGCTTTCCCATCCTCTTCTTGTCCCCGTGTCCTTTCCTAGCATTGCGAGCCCTCCTGCCTGCCCACTTCAGTTGTATCAGCATCGGCATGTGAAAGTTCCTGGTTCCGAGAAGCGTATGTGGTAGGTGTATACGAACGACGATTGTCGATCCCCCAAAGCGCCCAGCCCCGAGCTCCAAATCGGCAGTGATTCTCGAAGCGAAGTGTGAATGCGCCACCAAACAAAAGAATGCCAAGCGACTTTCTGGCCAGTCACTAAGACTCCCATATCGGAACGACCGACACTGCCGCTCATTATCCACATTTTTCGTCATGCATCTCGGAACAATTCAGCCACTTCATTCCCCATCCCGGGATCAATGCTTCTGAATGGGTAGACAACGACTCAAACCAAAGATAAGGAGGGGGCAGGGAAGCAGAGACGAGAGAAGGGACTCAGAAAGTGAAAGACATGCAGCTAACCTCGCGCTGAGGATTTCTAGATGATCCAAGTCCGTTATCGTCTCCGTTGGGACCCCTTTCACAGTCGCCTCAGTCGGATCACTTCATCAGACGCCTCTCGACCCATACCGATGATTCAATGAGATACTCCGCGGAGAGTGTCTCGTCCAACTTCGACCATCTCTCGAGGTAGGTGGCCGACCCTTGCATTGTCCGGCAGCAGCTTTCTGCATTAGTGCAAATCCGCAGATAGGGACTAAAAAGAGATTTCAAAACTCCCTTCACAGATCTTCTCTGCTGGATCATGAACATGGACTTGGCCCATCAGGTCTAGATCGCATACGTCAACAACCTTCATCGCGAGCATTTACCCTTCCGAACATTTCCGCCTCGTCGCTTGGGCCAGTGGCTTCGCGCAGTCATTCACCTTCCCCGCGTTCCGCCTCCTCGTCCCGAGCCCATCCCACTCGCCTTTTTGCCAGTGACGACATTGAGACCCTGGAGGACCTCCATCGCTTCCCTTGCGAGTCGCTGCATTCGTTCTCGTTTGCTCAGAAATCGGAGGAGTTGCTTCACAATCGGCACAATATCTTGAAGAGGTCGATCGATTTCATGCGCGACCGCTTCGGCTGGGCTACCGGCAATAGCCCTGCATTGGCTGCTGTACAAGGCCGCGCTGGCGGTGACTCGGATACGCAGAGCGTGGTGGATATCTCGACAAGAACGAATGTATTAGCCAAGGAAGACCGATTTCACTTCGCAGGTTTGACGCGTGGTCCGCAAACCGGCCCTGCTAATGTGGATAGTGATAACATCTTTGAGAGAGCTTTTACAGACCCTCAACTTGCATCCGGCAGGTTTGGAGAGAGACCTGCGGAATATGGCTCGATGGGGGCTCAATTGCGCTACTCAGGGCAGGGAGCGGATGACCCGAGATCGCAGCAGGAGGAGGAGTTGTTGAGGTCACACTCTTCATCTAGGCGCGTAAGCATTAAAAAACGTACTAACACCGAAATCGGTTCTACCGCTATCCGGGGCAAGCTGATGGAGACTCTAGCACCCTATACAACCACCGACCCCTTTTCTCCAACCAGCTCCTCAACCTTTGGATACGGATTTCCCGTGCCTGTGCTACATACCCACAGCAGCAAGTGGACACCAGCATCGCAGGCCGTGTTCCGGACCGAATCGCAGGAGCCGTGGACTATCTTGGCAGCGAATGATATCTCGTGTCTCATATTCGGTGTCACCCAAGGGGAACTCCGCAAACTAAGTATACTGGAAGTCGTACAAGAAGACCGGCGGGATTGGATTGAATCCAAATTACGGGACCCTTGCACTGAAGCGGCGGCAAAGCTCAAATCCTCGCCGGAACGAACGCGTTCCAAGCCCGCAAATACCAAATCAATGGGAATGGGCAACGGTGTGACAGCACAGCTGCTGAGTAAACCGCCTTCTCGAGCAAGGCCTCCCCGGAGAGCGCAGACCGACGATGGCTATGGCTCTAGCACGAGACAGTTGAACCACCCTCCGACCAAATCCCGCGGGGTGCTTCTTTGTGGGGATGTTGTGCCTATCAAGAAGCGCGACGGCAAAACAGGGTCCGCTAGCATCTGGGTGATGGAGAAACGAGGGGGCTTGATTTGGGTTATCGAGGAGATTCAAGAGGATGTCGTGACAGTCACTTGCAACGAGTCTTGGGATATCGTGAAGGTCGACGGTGATGTGGACAAGATCTGGGGTCACGGTGCGGTGAAGCCCGGAGAACGGATTACAGAACTCCTGCCTCGCCTTCCTGAGGACTGTCTGGCTGGCTCCATGCGCACAGGCCTCACGAAAGTGGCTGAGACCAAATACTTTGCTTCTCGCACAACTGCCGGTATCTGCATTCCCACCATAGTTACCAAAGGAGAAGGAAACAGGTCTCTTCGGATATCGAGCTTTCCTCATGTTGCGGGCATGATGGTCCTATCCTCGTCGACTTTGAAGATTGTCAGCTCCAATTCTGTGTTCTCCGCAGCGCTCTTTGGTCATGAGCGGCCCGAGGGCCTGCACATCAATGACTTGATACCTGGTTTCGATGACTTGTTGAACGTGCTTGTCGAGGAGGAACGGGTTCCTCTTGTGGACGGCATCGTGATTCCTGAACCCAGTTTCCGCAGAGCACGAACCTTGTCAATCCTCCGGGACGGCGGAAAAGCTCATGTTGTTTCCGTTCTACTAGAGCCATCTGGACTTGCGGCCACCCATCGCGACGGGTCCTCAATAGCGGTCGACGTTCAATTGCGGGTGGCCAAGAGCGGCACCATCTTCACCAAGCCGCGGAAAGAATCTATTGAGGAGGTCAATGAATCAGATTCCGAGCATGACGCTCCTATCGCAGTCACCGAACTCGTGTATGCTTTGTGGGTGACGTATTCACGTCACATCCACTCAGCAGCCCCGAGGTCCAACATCCCATCCCCCCTCGAATCGGTGCCGTCTGGCGCTGAGAGCCCTTCCGCAGTCCTTGTGTCAGGCACGCCAACGCCGATCTCTAGCCCGCATCCTTATATAAATGAACAGACGTCGGTTGAGAGCCAAATACCCACGTCCACCCTGAGCCAGCAGCTGAGCGAAGCTGCTTCCCAGCCGTTGACAGACAAGCCTGTTCAGCCGGTGCCCGAAGTGAGGCCGACCAGCGCGAAAGAAACACCGAAGAAACGTACCATTGCCGATTATACTATCTTGGAGGAGATGGGTCAAGGAGCCTACGGAGAAGTCAAACTTGCCCGCCTGAAGAAGATCCCCACGAAGAAAGTTGTCTTGAAGTATGTCACCAAGAAGCGGATCCTTGTTGATACATGGACTCGGGACCGTCGTCTAGGAACTGTTCCGCTAGAGATCCACGTATTGGACTTCCTTCGGCGAGACGGGCTGAAGCACCCTAACATTGTGGAAATGGAAGGTTTCTTTGAGGACGACATCAACTATTACATTGAGATGACCCCGCATGGCCTGCCCGGCATGGATCTGTTTGACTACATCGAACTGAAGGTCAACATGGATGAGTCAGAGTGCCAGAATATCTTTCGACAGGTCGTGTCTGCCATTCATCATCTGCATACCAAAGCCCTTGTGGTTCATCGGGACATCAAGGATGAGAATGTCATCTTGGACGGTGAGGGGCGAATCAAGCTGATCGACTTTGGAAGTGCCGCTTATATCAAGAACGGGCCTTTCGATGTCTTTGTAGGCACAATTGGTAGGTTTTACCAGCAACACCGCCCTTTGATTTCGATTTTCTGACACCATTGCAGATTATGCCGCACCCGAAGTCCTTCAGGGCAAATCCTATCGCGGGAAAGAGCAAGACATCTGGGCTCTGGGTATTCTCCTGTATACCATCGTCTACAAGGAAAACCCCTTCTACAATGTCGACGAAATCCTCGACCACCCCCTTCGGGTTCCGTTCTTGCCCTTCTCCGAGGATTGCATCGACCTGATTCGAAGAATGCTTGACCGAGATGTCGACAATCGGTTGACTGTCAGCGAAGTCTTAGAGCACCCGTGGATGGCGGACGACTGAGCGATGCACGGGGCAAGTGGTCTTTTCTCTGAGTCAGCGATACATAACGAATTATCATCTTGGATTATACATACAGCAACTGTTTCCATTCACTTTCGCCTTCATTCTACATGGATAATCGGAATGCAACGACCTCGATTGTTGTCGCTCGGAGCGATTGGAGGTGCGGAGGACACGAACTCAGCCGCCTTGAAACATAAAAAGCATCCTTTACACTGGTGAAATCGTGCGGCTCCCATGAGAGGAGCAACCACGAATGGACCCAGGATACATGGCGTCTTTGGATGTCGTGGATCACAGTGCTTGAAGTGGTCAGTGTGTATAGAAGGTCTAAGCGGCTGAGAAAACCCATGGTCACCATCACTATCACCAACACCATCATCATCATCATCATTATCATCATCATATAATTCTTCTCTTTGTCTAGAAAGAAGATACTCTTTGTTTAACTTTGCAATTTGGTTCTGACCGGATTCGATAGCTATTTTGCGTGCATGGCCTGGGAACAAAACATGGGCAGAGAACAGCATGTATTGGATGAACTTGGTTGATTTTTTTTTTCTTGTGTTGATACCCATCGTCGCAACGGCATTGGAATTTCATATGCTGTGGAACAGAACAGGGTAAATTAAGCTTCCTGCAATTGGGTTACAGTCATGATAGACAGTGAGACAGACCAATACACAGAGATGAGACATGATAGTAGTCATTGTGACAGGACTGTAAGACATCTTGGAGAAGGCACTAGGTGGTTGAACTGTGTCGCATTGACGCTTTTTTCCTTTGCTTCTTATCGTAGTGAGTATCTGTTCGAGACCAAAGTGCGGGGGATGGAAGCGGGGGAACTGGGGCTAGTCCGTTGGTATATTAATCTAATTCTACTAAAACGGCGGCACTTAGCCAAGTTGGTTAGGGTGGTGAATTACTAGGTAGCCTAGAGCTCGCACTGGGCCACTGGCTAAGTGTATTATGGGGTGGGTGCAGTGGTCTTGGCTTGTTGCCATGTGGGAGACAGGTTTCCAAGTTCCAATTGGATCGATCCATGGCAGCAAGCACTTGGCTTAAAGATGAGGGACGAAGAGGCCCCGGCCGTGAGTTAGAAAGTGCCAGGAATGTTTTTTTCCCTCCTAACAGAACCATTCGACGTCTTTCGACCTCTGATCAATCATACCTGGAAAGCGGAATGACCGACCTTGAATTACCCAACCCAGTAAGTCTACCAAGTACGTACGTATTGTAGTTACATGTAGAGAAACCTGGAGGCAACCAGCTTCCCCCCCCCTCAAGTTTCAACAATCCGCCTCGTCGACTCTCAAGGAACAAAGAGGCAGCCAGCCGCGGCCACCAAAAAAAAGTTTCAGTCAGAGCCAGTGAGATAGGTACTGTGGAGGCGTGGCCGTGGACGCAAAAGCCAGTTCTCCGCTTTTGGGTGGCGTTTGTTTTCCTCGTACAAACAGGAGGAGGAGGAGGAGGAGGAGGAGGAGGAGGCAAACAATCTGGAGGCACTGATTCACTGAACGGAGGTGGTGGGCATTCATTCCGGGTTCAAGTTCCCCACGCCCCCCCCCCCTCCCTCCCTTCAGGTTCCCCCTCCCTAGGTAGGCTCTTTTGATTCCCCCTTCCACTAGGCTCGGTGGTCGGAAGTTCCCCTTAGGTTTCTTTTTTTTTTTTTTCCTGGTCGGGGCTTGTTACTCGTATGCGTATGAGTGACAGGTACTTCTTCCGGATGTGAACTTTGTTCTTCCACTAGAGTATATGTAGTTTTCCAACTATGAGTATTGTCTCCGTAGTTACTGTACAACTAGTCCTACGCTCTGCACTGCATTCGTGGATCTACAGTACTTGCCAAATATCTTCGATCCGAACTGGCAGCTCAATCTCCAAGCCTTGTCACGCTGCAGGGGAGGAAAGGGGGGAAACCGGAATCGGAACCTGAAGCCGGCTGAATTTCCTTATTTCCCTTGTTGCTACTGCTACTGTCTGGTGCAAGTGATCCGATTTCCCGGCTTAGTCGGAGTTTTCGGGAGTTGTGTGTGTGTGTGTGTGTGTGTGTGTGTGTGTGTGTGTGTGTGTGTGTTTGCTTGCTTACGCTAAGTTATTTGCCTCTGAAGTGTGGGGATGGGCTTGGCTGGTTTGTTTTGTGGGTTGGATTGCTGTGGAGTGTGTTTCTGATGTTGTTGGTTGGGAATGGAGGGAGGAGGCGATGCGATGCGATGATGGTGTGTTTTGGGGATGGGTCATATTACTTGGAGTGTTTGAGGGGTTCTGTGGTGGTGGTGGTGGTGGTGTCGAGGAAGGAGGAGGAGGAGGAGGTTTAAATGTCAATCCATCAATGCAGCGAAGTGGCTGGTGTATGCATGGAAATGGAGTGTTTACATACAGTAGGTGGGTGGGTAGGAGAATTGTCAAGAATAGCCCAGTCTGTTAATCGGACTGTTGCCCAATCATTCCATAGTTGCGGACGAGGAACAGGGAATAGGCTCCTCCACTATCAATTGTGATGGCTATTTGTTTTTGTCTGTGGCCTGGACTGGACTGGACTGGAGGAGACGAGGCATTTGTTTCGTTCTCCATCGGGACATGGACATGGACATGTACCATACGGCCCGCCCGTACTTGCGGGTACCGTAATTGCTCGGTCTGACGGACATATCGCTGAGATCAACACTTGCTTGTTCTTGACTGCGAGGGTTAATCCGATGGTGTGCCAGATGACCATTGCTGATTGAAGTTTTGGTTATTGTTATCTTCTTGTCTATCTCGAATGTGAATAAGTCATGCCTGGCCACCTCCTGATCGCAGACCTGCCATCTGACCCGGTAATAACGGTGACTGAACTGTCACAGACCAAGTGGGGCGAGCTAATCGCTAATCGATAAGTGAGAATCCGTCCACACCCCCCGATAAGAGAAACACTCTCTGTCTCTCTCACACACACCTGTGGGGTAAGAATGGAGGGTATGGGTTTGTCGACCAGTGCTATTATTCGCAGCCTTATCATTGTTCGACTCTTTTCTGTTTGTCACAGCCACTCCCTCCGAGCAATTATATTTCGGTCAACATTAAAGACCATTAAAGACCCGTGTGGCTCGCCCTTTCTGTCGGCTGACCAGACCTTACCTTACGTGATTCTATAGTCGGGATTGACAATCTTCCTTCTCTTTCTCTCCTGTCTTCTTGTCTCTGACACACTACAAACGAACAGTAATTTACTGTTCTCTATTTTTCCTACTCGTACTTACCTACGACGGAGTATATCCTACAAGATCCGATCGAGTCCTCCTGTATTCTCTCTCCCTTTCTTCCCTTCCCTCCCTCCCCTCCCTCCCCGCCCTCCTACAAAATTCGCTCCAGTCAACTCAACGCAAGATTTCCGGTTGCGTTGACACTTCTCTTCCTCCTGGATTATTGTGGATGATGCTTGCGTGACGTCTACAACTGAACTCAACTGGTCGCTCTCTTGACTTTTCGGTCGCAGGCCAGGCTGGTGCTGGCTCTTGCTTCGGGCCCCCGGGTTACGCGGTCGTCAAGTCCCATGGTACAATCGGAACGACAACCTTCAACTCGACAACCCACCTCCACCTTCCCGTCGCTTGCTGCTGCTGCTTTGCTGCTCAGGTGATCCCACCCCCCTTTCATCCTTTTTCTTCTTTCTCAACCCGAGCAATCAGCCTGTCCATCCGCAGGAACGGAGGTTTGGCGTTTTTTCTGCTCCTCGGGGCGTGTCTACCATCGCGGTTATCGCCAATCGATAAGATAACCTTCTCACGGACCGGCTGGCTGGAGTCATTATGAGCATTTAGGATTCCTTCTTCTGTCTGGCATTTTGCGTTCTGGCGCTGAAAAGCATTCGGTCGCATTGATCGTTCATACCGTTGTGTCACCACATTTATCTAGGACCTCCCTCGATTGACGACGAGAAGTATTCCGCAAAGAGCCCTAAAGCGCATTGCCGTCATGGCTACCGCAATCCCCGACGACATCAGATCGACGTCTGAGAGCCCTTCGCCATCGAGTCCGGCTTCGTCGACTGGTCAGATCCCACTGGAACAACCACCGAAACTCAAGGGTCGTCATAAATTGCTTCAAAACCTCCAACGCATCTCGTCCAGCCCGAGTCTGACCAGGCGCGGCCGATCCGCTTTCACGGGATATCGCCGCGATGGAAAGGCCTCCCTGTCCTGCATCTCGCTCTCGCAAACGGCCTATTCACCTTGCTTGGGCAATGGGAGTTCATCGCAACTGTACGGGGGGCTCAATGCTCAGTCTGTGACCCCCGGGGCCACGGCCCCTCAGACCGACTATTTCGACGGTGCTGCTCGCATCCGGGCGGTTCCCTCTGAATCTCTCAATGCTTCTCAATCGAAGACAATCCCTCTGCCTCAAGACCTGCGACCTGGTTCCCGTGGATTGGCGATCAGCATGGCAGACGTCACGAGTGAACCTACCGTTGCCCAGCCGTCACCGAAACCGAAGGTTTTCGACTTCTGGGGCAGTTTGCCGGACGAACTCAAGATGCGCGTTTTCCGGTACCTCAATCCAAGAGAGATTGTCCGCTGTTCCGCGGTCTCCAAGGCGTGGAATAAGATGTGCTACGATGGGCAGCTCTGGAGGGAAGTCGACACAACGGACTATTACCGCGACATTCCTAGCGAAGGTCTGGTGAAACTGATGACTTCTGGGGGTCCATTCGTTCGGGATCTGAACTTGCGAGGCTGTGTTCAGCTCAAGGACCAATGGCGGACGGATGGTGAACGAATCACCGATCTCTGTCGAAATGTGGTCAATTTCTCCCTGGAAGGATGCCGTGTTGACAAGTCCACGATCCACTATTTCTTGCTGCGGAACCCCCGTCTAGAATACATCAACCTGTCAGGACTACTCACCGTCACCAACTCCGCCATGAAGATAATTGCCCAATCATGTCCGCAGTTGGAGATCCTCAACGTCTCTTGGTGCACTGGTGTTGATACCTCTGGGCTGAAGAAAGTGGTGGTTGCCTGTCCGAAGTTGAGGGATCTGCGAGCCAGCGAGATCCGTGGTTTCGACGATGTCGAGTTTGCTGCGGAGTTATTCGAGCGAAACACCCTGGATCGGTTGATAATCAGCCGGACTGACCTTACCGACGAGAGTTTGAAGGCTCTAATGCATGGCGTGGACCCGGAAATAGACGTGTTGCTGGATCGTCCGATCGTCCCTCCTCGACGACTCAAGCATCTGGATATTCACCAGTGTCCCGATCTCACCGACCAGGGTGTGAAGAGTCTTGCCTGGAACGTGCCCAACTTGCAGGGACTGCAGCTCTCCCACTGCTCCGAGCTCACTGATGACTCCGTTATCCCTATCATTCAGACAACCCCTTGTCTTACTCACCTTGAACTCGAAGAGCTGACTCGGCTCTCCAACCATACCCTCATCGAGCTTGCCAAGTCGCCATGCGCTCCTCGTCTCGAGCATCTCAACATCAGCTACTGCGAACTTCTTGGTGACCAAGGAACCCTTCCGATCATGAAGAACTGCCTCTCTCTTCGCTCCGTTGAGATGGACAACACCCGAGTGTCTGATCTGACTCTGATGGAAGCCAGCCTCCGTGTACGCAAGAGGGGCTACGGCGAGAACCTGCCTCAGATCGGTCTGCGATTAGTTGTGTTCGACTGCGGCAATGTGACCTGGGCTGGTGTCAA